CTCAGTTCTCCATTCAAAATTAGTATTTCAATATTTTATGATGAATCTGTTCACTGGAGTCCAGCTTACGTCAGTCAGTTTACATTTATTTTAGTTTTTATCTGATTAGATTCAGTGATCATATATTTTTGCGTAGACATTGTATTTTTCTGAATTACATTTTTTAGTATGCTATTAAGCTAAGATTATACTAAAAATGTAAAATGAATACATTTTTTAAAACATGCTTGGTATTTTTTTTAAATGTATTTTTATACACTTTCTAAAAGTATATTTTTTCTAAAATATACTTTAAATTCCAATTAAATATATTACTAAAGTTATACTTTGGATAATCATTTTTAAAATACATTCAAATACATGTATATTTTAAATGTACGTTGTAATGTAATGGAAAATTTTGTAATGTGCTCCTCACTTCTCTCCTGCTTTAGGCATTTCTGCATAGTCTTATCATTAGATTGGTCAAGCTGCTCTCAAGACTTACAGTATGCAATGTCATATAACAGCAGGGGAAAGCTCCTTGATCCTGGAGACTATCTAAAGTGTTACTTCCCAAACGTAGAACTTATCTGCCCTCTTTAGCATCAAAGAACAACCCCCTATCTTTAACAATATATGGCAAGACCATCTGTGTGGGGCTCCACAGAATCTCTGGCACATCACAATCAGGAATCCACACCTCTTGTCCAATCAAATCTCTCTTCTCTGACCAGAACCTATAAAAAGAAGCCAGATTCACTGTTTGACTCTGTACTTTTGTTCTCACCTTGCAAGGTTTTAATACATTTCTTATTTTCTTCTCATTCAGACTCTTGTTAAAGTAATTTTTCCACAACACAGAGGTTCTACAGCAAAAACACTAAACATGTCCTTAATACTAAATATAGAAGTTATCTTCAATTTCACATTTCTCCGAATATGATCTGTTTTAACTAAAACACGGAGGCTATATTTACCCAATCCATTTTCAGATGTAAATTCTATCAGTGAATGGCATTAGCTGCAGTTCACACTCCAGACCAGATGGTGGCGGTAATGTACGGTGCCCTTTAGGGGTTCATGGAGAAAAAATATTCTTTTGCGTTACCTCTCAAAACTTCTGCGTTCCCTCACAATATGCTTACTGCAATATTTGCTGGTCTATTTTGTATACAGTCACAAATGTCAATTTAAAATTTCAAATGTATACACATTTAAAGAGCCTCAGTGTTTTCTCTTAACTCTTTGGTGCAAAAAAAAAACTGATTGAAAATCGATTTATTCACTGCATGTTTATGTCTGTTTGCATAGTTGAGATGGAACTGAACATGAAAACATTCATTTAAAGCGTTCAGACAACCAACACAAAAGAGACACAATCAAAACTGTCAGATGACTTATTACCCCGTGAAAATAACTCAGAAATGATCCAAATAGTGTGGAAGTATTTTTTATTTATTATTTATTTCCTTTTTACGGGAAGTTTCTGTTTATATCGTAGGTTTGTGATGCATTTCTATCCTAAAGAAAAAGATAAAACTTCAGAAACTTCACAACGAGATATTAACATAGGTAACCATATAGCAGAAAGTACAATAGACACATAAGAAAGCCTTACAGTATTCTTGCGAGAGAACGCAAAACCTATTGCGATGTAACGCATATGTTTGCTAGAAAACACAAATGAAAAATAAATTCCCCATGTCCCAAAGGGGGCTGCGTAGATTCGCAAACAAAAACAGAATCGCAAGCAAAAGTTGGAGAAGCGCAACCAAAAAAGAAAAGAAAATCGCAACCAAAGATTTATGACACGCGCAAATAAAAGTTTATATTTTGCAAATAACTTTTTAACTTCATGAGACAAAAATTTGAGATTTTAATTTAAAAAAAATTAAAAATAATTTTTTTGGTTTTTAAAAAAAATCATTACAGTTCTAAAAGTTTTGATCACAATTTTATTTATTATTTTATTAGAGATTCGGGTTTTTTGATTGAATAATTGTGATTACTGTTTAAATTTTACCTTTAATAACAAAAAAAATAGTGCAATCAGTAATACTTTTAGAACAAATTGATATAAGTAATGATTTCCTGGTTAATGTCAAGATGTCATAACAACGACATTTTGAATAATGTCAACTTTGTATTAAAAGTGTCATAATTTACCGAATGAGGCTTTATAACAGTCATAAATATTCATGAAGGCTTATTCATGTTCATGACAGGTGTTTATGACAGTGTCATGACAGTCTTATTCACCCCCCTTCAAATAAAGTGTTACCTAATATTTTCTAAACATTTAAATGCAACCAGAACGATTGGTGGAATCTGGAAAAGATCTTCCATTTGCATTTGAAAACAATTTCCAGACTACAGGATGGATTTAGCTTGAAGCGATCAAAGGCCATCTGGTATTTCTAGGCAGATAAAACTTAATTAATCCAGCAGGAATTCAACCTCCTGTTGCTTGAAAACACACAGCTGGTCACAGTCGCTGTAAAACAAACCAATCTTCTACTTGCCAGACTAGGATGTCATCACCGAATCACACACCGACTTCCACGAATTCACATTTTAAGCTTTTATTTGCAGAAAAGTTGTCAAAGATATTTACAGCAAAATAACAGATGTTTTCCTCAAACATCTAATGGCTCCTGCCAGCTTTATTAACAACAAAAAATTTGCTATGTTACACCTGAAAGACAATTCTGTACACACTAAAACATGGAAAGAGTTCAAGATATCATCCACAAGAGTTCGAGGAGGGTGTGGCTCTGTGCAGCATTTACAGTGAGGCAATTAAATCTTTTGTTGCATAGTGTTCAAGTGAAGTTATCAATATTCTGCAACAAAGGTACATGGAAAAACAGCAGCAGAGAAAGTGAGCACAAACTGTGACATGAACTATGACTTTTCACTGCGTTTGGTGGCTATAAAGATGAAACACAAAACAGAGGACAGAATTAACACCTTACAGGTAAAAAAAAAATAAAAAATAAAAAAAATCTCTATTATATCGTAGAACTGAAACCTTCACAGTTTGATGTTTGGTACCCTTTAACATTTTGACCACACAAGTTACTGAGAGCAAACACACAGTTAGAGCTGAGCAGGAAAACATGACCCGCCATGCTGAATTAAAAGCTGCAGTATATAACTTTTATTAAAAAAAATATTTTGTTACATATCTGTTGAAACTGTCACCAAGTCGCGATAGTGTAATACAAGAGATGATCTGTGGAGGGACAAAAAAACAATTAAAGTTTTCCTGCCTTCTCCCAATGCTAACTAGAAACAACTAATCAGAACCTGAAGACCGGTGTTAGCGCCATCAATCAACAGCTACTCCCCATTAGCAGAGCCTCCTGTGAATGCTAAGACTTGTTAGCATAGCCACCAATGACGGCGGATAAAAGGTTTTATTGTACCGGTTAGTTATTTTCCCGCCATTAGACCCACCTCCTGGCTCTGATTGGTCGCTTTTGGTCGGCATTTCTTCAGGCGGCAACAGCAGCACAGGAAGGAGGTGGAGGAGATCAATCTTTTAACAGACTGTCTCATAACAGACTTTCACGACATGGTGACAGTTTTAAATGCATATTAAAAATATTTTTATGAGTTACATACTGCAACTTTTATGTAATTCATTTGCTGTTCTCAACAACCTGAGCTTATAGACTTAACTATGGTACATTCTGGATCAGTCATTGACTTTGGCCCACTGAAGCTTTCCCAATAACTACAGAAGCCTTTCAAAACAAAAGCAGCCTTCTCAGACTTCCATGCAGAATTAATCTACATATGATTTTCAATCTTCCTGTCGATCTCATGCCAGTCTGAGCATCCAGATGTACCCAGAAGGGAGTAAAATACCACCGTCTGCCTTTAAATAAACTCCTGGTAAAAACCCTTATTGGAGCCTTAGTTTTTAAATGAACATACTGTGGCTCCTAGGTGAGATGTACATTTAGTCAAAACTCTGGGAAAAAGACGGGTGTTGGCTTCCAGCCAGAACCACAGAAGGAAGAATAAGACACTATGAGGTAAGATGCTTTCCTACTCAGCCACTGTGCATCCTATCCTCACACCTAAGACGTTACTACAGACAGTTGAGGGTGACGAGTGTTAAGCACGAGGTAGGATCACGCTACAGAAGAACTAGAACAAGTCTCAGAACTGCTGTGGCTGCAGAGCCAAGTCACTGAAGGACACTCGTGTCCCAAAGAGAGGCTGGTGACATTTCATGCTCTCTCTCTCTCTGTGTAGGCTGTTTGTTCAGTCGTATTTCCCTGGAAGTCCTTCAAGCTCTGGATTTTTCATTTGCCTTTAGGGCTCTATAACAGACAAGTCCAACCGTTGATTTCCTGTCTAACCAGTCAGCAGGCTACAACCGAAAGAGTTCAAATCACTTCAATAAGAAGAGGGAAGGGGCCAGAGAAAAGGACGAGTGTCTCCATGTGCCTTTGGAATCATTCTCAGATGGTACAGCTTCCAATTTCCTGAAGAAACCCCCAAATGGCAGAGACAGTGAAATATTTAAAGACTCAATACTGCTCACGTTGTAAAAGCTACAAAGTAACCCACTTCACACCATCCAAACCCATTACAAGCTTGAAAATATAAAAGGTGCAATGCTGGAAATGGCTGAAATCTGCACATTTTCTAATGTATATTGAGGTTTTCTGTCAGCCTGTCCAAAATGCCACACTCAACCTCAACAAAAAAAACATTCAGTTGCTAAAACATCTGCTAGCGCTGGAAAAAAATAATCAGAAACCGATTCCTTGGTCAAGAAGAACTCTTATGGCAAAGAAAAACCGTGTGCACTTGGTCCATGAGGGGCTCTTTGGTTGAAACAGGAAGTAATGCCCAGTAAGACAAGTTTAAACTCTCTTGTTTGGTTACACCTGCACAGGTTGAAAGGCCTGATATGACGAGTTCATCTCAACTCTGAAAACCCATTAGATTTTCATCCTTCTACTTCTGGAATGTGGCGCAGATCATTAGCAGCACACATCGCTGTCGTTCTCTGTATTTCAGCTAGTGGGAGATTTTTCTGATTCCTAATTGCACCTCAGTGTTGAACTCCAAGAGACCCCTCACCGTCTCCTCTGATATCATACCCGCTTGATGAATCATTCAAAAAGTGTCACAACATTAGAAACAAAAGTGTTTGCACATTTTGCTAGCCTGAAACTTCACAAGTTCACAGACTTCTCAGGTTCCCATCTCGGTTCAGAACCTTCAGGATGGATTCTCCCGCAGATCCAGTCGACTCGGGGGTGAATCTTCTTAAAGGCACAGGGATGTTTGAGGGTAGCAGTCATCTGTTCTTCAGAGTTATTACTCCCACGAATGCTTTAATCAGTGAGAACACAGCTAACCTGCCTCATAGTTCAGTACAGTACAAAAGTTAAGGAAGAACAAACTCATAAAACAAACTAGATTACAAAATGAAAGCTGCTTTCTGATCCAGCCAGCACTCTGACTTCACTCTGACATTGTCCATCTCCCCAGTAAGCTAATAGAAAATAAAAATGAGATTGTAACGAGTTTATTTGCATATTTTTCTGCCCCAGAGGTTTGGAATAATGCTCCAGTTTGTCTTGCAGCCTCAGTTCTAGATCATGAGTCTTCACATTTCAGGTTGTCAGTCCTTTTTCCTTCCCCGTCCACCGCCATGGAGACGACAAGTCTGCAGAGAAACAGAGTGAAGAGGTCAGAAAGAGGCGACGACACACACAGTTACTTTTTCAGGCTGTCAGTTCCTGCTGTCAAAGAATCTGTTTATGATGGAAGAAACCCAACTTTTACAATCCACCTTCAGCTTTGCTTTGTCTCATTCAGTATCCGAAACCATAGTTAAATTTTTATTCCTCAAAGCCTTGAGCCCTGTGAGTTTACTCAGCAAAAATCTTCTTTCTTTTTTGACAGGCAGAGAGGTTTCCCTCTAATGTGGTAAAAAGTGGTTTTAAATGATGCTTCAATATCCGTCTTTGGTTTCCTTTTTACCCTTTGCAGTTATTCAAAATCAAAACTGAACAAGGATGCGACGTCAAAACAAGGTTGCTCGAGTATTATCCTGCAGAGGAGCAGCAGTAGGAAATGACGACCTCAGGAAGGAGCAGCTCCACTGGAATCACCTTCCTGGACAAATGTCCTGTTTTCTGTTCATTGAACCGATAATGTTGGGATTTGCTGTAGGTGCAACTAAAGAAACTGCCACACCTTGTGCATTTAGGATTTGTTTAGACGTTTAATATTTAAAATTGTAATATCAGGTTTACATTTCAAGAACTGGTTTTGGTTCTGGTATAGGGTGAGATAATATCCATCAACCACAATAGTCTGTCCAGTTATCCAGCTATAATTTTTGTGTATATATTTAGTCCTGTGGCACAGTCATTTTAGAAAACCCTACATATTCAAAGGCAAGCTCCATGTTGTTTATTTTGAGCCCTATAAAAGAAATAATTCATATCACACCCCTTGGTAGGTGAAAAAGGTACAAAAACAATATGTATATAGATCCACTTATATATAAATATACAGTAATATATGTACAGCAAAAATAAGACAGCTGTGCTTCCATTGGCCTTAAAATTACAAAAATTAGAATAGCAAAAGTAAATTTGTTTAATGGCTACAGTTTCAACAGAACACGTTTCTCAATAAAAGTTTTTGTGTTAGAACGAAGTGATTTTTCAGCTGTATCAAAAGTAGTTTATTTTGTAAAACTGCAAATGGAAGCCCTTTTTTTTTTTTTTTTAATCACGAGTCATGTGATCAACAACCGGATATTGTCACTGGCGCAAACCATGAAGACAACAACAGGAAATAGTTGGAACATCATGGCAGGGTTTTTATTTCGTGAACAAACTTATTCACATGTTATTTTAATTGTGTTTGTTGTTTAATTACAACCCCACAATTATAAAATTGTGGGGTTTTTAGCGGAATGTCAACAAAGTTTTGGACTTCATGCTCCATGAAGACCATGGACTTCATGCTCCTCATTAGCATTGTGAGAGCTGATCTGTGTTGTTCTCAGTTGATGTTCGGGCAAAACTTTCAAACCATGGTTTCACAAAACATAAACAGATTTAGGTTTGATTTCTCCAGAACATCTCCAAAGACGGTGTTGCTGGACAACAGACTGACTGGCAGAGAAAATTGTCAAATACATCTAAAGATATAGATGAAACATCAACTTACATATAAAGAGATTTCAATATTCCAGAGTAAAATCATCTACATTTTCACGTGAAATTATTTTCTGAAACTTCTTGGTATAGACTTTTTTTTTTTTTTAAACAAACATTCAGCTTACATAAATTTGTTGCATGCATAGGCCACATCTCTAATAAGTAGTTTAGAATGGTCCTAACCAACTGTACAAGTATTGGCACCATATATCACCAAAATGCTAAATCCATCATGTACCATATATCAATCATCATGTATGTATCATCCATCATGTTAGTATGTGTGGAATCAAACAGGATATGTGGCCATGCTTGAACAGAAGGGAAGAAGACCAAGTGTTATTGTGGGGTAGAGTCTCAGCCGCAGTTTGTTCCTGGAGGGAATCTTGCTGAACCTGCGTCCATGTTGGGTTCAGCGCTCGGCTCTAAGAATAGCCCAGCGGCCGACATGCAGCGGCTCGTTCCCCTTTTACAGGTTGCATAACAGCAGTGCACATGTTAGGAACACAAGCTCAGCAGGAGGCATGCGAGCTGGAGAGCCTCATCCAAAACTACAGCATCCACTCCATACTGCTGACTCAGGATTTCTAGTCCAACACCTCTAAATGTGCGCTTAGTTTTTGTTTAAATCTGTCAATAGAGAAAAAAAACACACAGAGTGCACACAAGCAACCCAGATACTAAAAATCTAATTTGAGGATATAGTATAATACATCAACTTTTGGCTTAGTTCACTTCTTCCCAACAGAAAAACAAGACTGTCTCCATTTGACCGTAAGTTTCAGCAGCAATTAAAAGAGCTTCAGGAACATTTTGATTATTTTAGGTGAACACTAGTCACGATCTGATCGCCTGCAAAGAGTTCTTCAGTAAGTATCAACAAGATCAGCATTGTCAGATGTTCTCAGAGTACTGTCTCTTTCCTCCAATAAACTGGTCCTGCTCATGTCTGAAACTAATGCCTGACCTGACCAGTTCTGATGTAATGTTTCAAATGTCTTTTGCTTAATTGCAAGAAGAAATGATTGGAGAACAACCAAAGAAGCCCAAATAAGAAAAAGTGGAAGAGAACATTTGCAAAAATAGTATTCCCTCTTATCTGCGTTTAAATTTGCTTATGACGATGCTCTGCATCACCAGCCTTTCAATGGCATGAAGCCAAGTTTACATCATCAGCAGTTTCATAGAAATGCTGATGGAATGTGTTGATTTGCATGTTTTACGACCTCAAAACAACAGAGAGCCAGCAGGAATGCCAACACTCCCTCACTAATGGAAATGAAGGGAACTATTAGCATCATTAGCACACAAATAAGAGGCTTTCAAATTAAAAGCAGATGTTCCAGTTCATCTCGCAATTCAAGTGCACTTCACAGCTTAAAGTCCTGATCTAAAGGCTGCGTCTCCACGAGACCGCTGTCTGGAAAATGCTGGTATTTTCGGATGTTGATTGGGGAAAAGCTCCATGTTGAGACCATTGAGACGCCTCAAGTCAGCTGTATTGTTCATGCCAAGCCGCTAAATGGTGCTATGATTTTTGCACATCATTGAACATGCATGAACTTTTAACTCTTAGCTTCCATTTCACTCGCTTCCACTTCATCGTAAACAGCAACCCATCCAACCAAGCAACACAGATCTATTCTACAGCAGGGATTGTGTTAAACTCAACAGGTTAAGTAGCAGAGCAGAGCACAATGCTGTCCGCCATTGTTTTTGTTATCTACCTATGCATGTGCAGAATGAACCCTGCAATCATTCATTCTGCGCCTGGGCGCTTTCACGCCTGCAGACGCCTCCGTGGGGGATCTGGTTTCAAAACGATCCGGCGTGAAAGACGTCTAAACAACTAGATCACAACAAAACTGTTACACTTTCACTCAAAATTAAATTTTTATTGCACTGGGAAAATCTCATCCATCCATCCATCCATTTTCTTCTGCTGATCAGGGGTCGGGTCGCGGGGGAAGGAGCCCAAGTAGAGAAAACAGATTGATTGAAAAGTCAAGCCTTTTGACTGAGCTCTTTCTTCACCATGACAGAACATTGCAGCGCCTGCTTTACTACAGACGCGGCTCCAATTTTCATTCATTCATTTGTGAACAAGATCCTGAGATACTTGAACTATTCCACTTGGAGCAGGACCTCTTCCCCGAACCAGAACAGATACTCTACCCTTTTCATTCTCACAATGTCAAATTATGACTGTCGCCATCTTACGTCATACCTGGGTTTTGAAGTAATATTCATGTTGTAATATTTACAAAATGTAGATCTTCTTGGCAGAAAAATGCAACTAATTTTTATATAAGTATAAGTAAAACCAGGCAATAAGTGTTAAGTCTCTTATTTCTTAACTATAGAGAAAAAAAGATTGGTAAACCCAATGGACTAGCCATATGTTGACAAAAGAAAAAAAATCTGACTATCCCATTTAATTTTTGGGGCACAAACAACCGCAAAAACAGTCTAGCTTAATTTTTTTTTTAGCTGAACATTAAAAGCATGAAAATATACAATAATTTTTCCAGTTTAAACACTCAGCAGAGACACAGGTCTTCCAAATCCCTCCTTATTTCAGCAAATGCTGCCAGCTCCCCTTTTCATCAATTATTTACACCTAGAGAGACGGCTATTCTGCTTTATTATTCACAAAATAATCCCATTAACATCATAAAGGCAGGACAATACAACCACACAAAGCATGTGACGGATCCGTTCGACTTAAAGGGGATTGAGACGTGTAAACCAATTAGATCCAACACAGTCACCATGAATGAGGACAGCAGACTGGAAAAGATGTGGACAAATGTTATTCTAAAGCGTAGTCACGGTTATGCCTCTACTATCCATGAGCTGTACATTTTTATGGAGAAAGAAGAGATAATAGATCACATTTCTGACCAGGCTTGATTTAAGTCCGATTCATTTTACCACAACTTATAACGCTATAGATTTAGAAATCTATTTTTCTGAGTTTTCTGCTCAATTCTGTTAAACGTCTTGATAAACAAAAACACAGTGAGGTGTTTTAGTCGACCAGTTATGCAACAGCTCGCTTGTGTAACTGGCTCTGAATTCCAGAAAAAAAAATTTTTTAACAGCCTCCGTAAACGTCTTGTAAACCCAGACGTTTACAAGCATCCTATGGGCACAAACGTAATGGACACTCCCAGATCTCAGGAAGGTGCCTCCCTCTGGTTCCCCAACTGCTGTTCAGAACATGTTGTACAGCACAGCGTCCTTCAGAGGAGTACTATCAGAAAGTCTGAATTATCTGAATCCAGTATTTAAATGCTTTTGAGCATTAAACTGCGAAGCAGCAAAGCCTTGGAGGCATTGGCATATGCATTAGAACCACTCTGGGTGTTGAAATGCCTCAACTTGTAGAACGATTGTCAGTGCTGTCAGTTAAACAAAAAAAGTTTTTGATTCCTGAAGTAATGAGTATACACAGAGGAAGAGAGGCGCTGTCAGAGCTCTGGCCTGTTTAAGAGAGGCGTAAGCCTGGCACGCAGCGAGAGGACAAAATGTTCCCGACCAAAGCCTCCATAAGCCTTGAACCAGCAGCACTCGCTGTCCAGCAGAGGAATCAGATGGCAGTTTGAGGACTGGTCAGATGGACGTCAAAGTAAAAACATGCACATGATTTTCAATATTCTGATTTCACCTAAAGGCAGCTCTATAAATGACTTTTTCATTGTAAGAGGACTTTAAAAGCCCCAAACACAGTAAAACACAAATATTAGTTACCGATGGGGCCGATACGATTCATTTAATGACTCCAGGACCTCAGTGTTTAAAATTCTTCAAGGCAAATGGTCTGAACTGAAGGTCCATTAAACTGTTTAGCCATTTATCTCGCTGTGTTCCACCCGGATAATGGTTTGTACAGCTGAACGCTCTCACTTCCAGTGCTAAGTGCTGTTAGCATCTGTGCAGGGAGGCGGCGGGGGACAGAAGGAACTGCCACCAAGAAAGAGACAAAATCTGCCTACAGTGTGGGATCACTTTAAATAGAAAAGGTTACACAGCTCTGTGTGTGCACTGCAGAGCAGAACTGGTGTTTCACATCAGCTTGACCTCCGACCTCAGCAGGAAACATCCACCACATGCATGGAGTTCACTGGTGGCTGCTGGGATCTGATATGTAATAAGAAGATACTTCTAGTCCAACATTACATGTTGAACAAAAAGAGAAATTACCTGAAAAAAATAATAAGTGCATAGTAATGAACGCACTTCCCAGTAGATGACATTTTTCTTTAAATATGCCTTTTTTGTAATATTAATTTTCTGAGACATTGAATTTTGAGTTTGTCACCTGTAAACCATGATCATTGAGATTACATGAAAATGGCCAGAGTGGATGAATGAATGATAAACAAGTTTTATAACTTTTTCACTGTATTCTCATGTTCTGAGCCGCATAGTGAAAAAGGAGCTGAAAAAGTGATTTGCTTATAAAATTTATCATGAAAAAAACCCAAAAAACTAAACCTATCATATTTTCTGGTAATAGGATTAATAATAATGCAAAGTTTTAAATAAATGGAGTTTAAATTGATAGTTTATCAGAAAATCTTTAAGGGATCATTCTAGACAACAAACTCAGTTAGAAGCCTCATATTGAATATATTAAATGCAATTGTTGTAACTATTGGAATGTTGTTTAAAATTAAAGATTTAATAAATGTTAAAGGCTGAATGTTGTACACTCCTCATTGGTTATGCCCCATTTGTCATATTGCTCAGACGTTTGGGTAAATGCAAGTACAACAACCATTGGTATATTAGTTAAGTTACAAAAAATAGCTTTTAGGTTTATTCATAAATGGGATATTGTGAACCAACTAACTAACTTTTTATTCAAAGTAATACTTTTAAATGTAAAGACAATGTACATATAAAAACACTGGAAATACTGGTATAAAGCTTTGAACAAAAATCTTCTTTCAGAAGAAAGATCATTTAAGTTAAGAGAGAATAAATATAATTTGCGAGGTTTGTTAGAGGGAAAAAGAGGTAAGGTTTAGATGTGTTGCAGTTATTGGCGTGAAACTGTGGAATGAACTGAATGATGATTTTTAATTATGCCCTTTCTTTAAAAGAGCCTTAAAGTAGAAAATGATAAAAGCTTATACTGTTATGTAGATGTTTATATGTATTGTGTAACCATGCATGCAAGTACTGGATGTGTATTTTTGTAAATACATGCATATTTAAATATAAATGTGTATACGCATATACACACTGTATGTATGCATATTATTTCGACTTTATCCTCATGATTTAATTCTTTAAAATGTTCTTTGTGTGACTGAGTGGTAGATTCTGCATAATACAAGAGAAATAAAACCAGGCTTGTTGTTCCATCATGCCTCGCAGGTTTAGCTGTGTTCATCCTACCGTTGTCAGCTCGCTTCAGTTTAGCAGCTGCAGACACGAACACCCCAGTAGCAGGTCCAACAGCCACTCCCCTCCCCTCCTTTCCAACACTAATCACTAATCCTTCTTTCCAACAGATGACAGCTTTATCAACTGAACGAGAGCTAGTCTATTGCGTAACCGTCTATTCCATCGTGCCACAAGAGAACGAGGCCAATCGGAGGCAGCAAGGAAACATCCTGATTGCTCTGCCCTGAGTGCTCCCCACCCTGAGCAGCTGGGTGGTGTTACATCACAGCGTGAGCAGCCTATTGTGATGAAGAGCTAACAGAATGGCTGAGCTAATTTGTCAAACAAACCCAGAACTCAGGCCTGGTCAGTGGAGAGTTCACGTTCAAACAAACAGGCGGCCGGTTTGGGTGGCTGAGCATCCACTCAGCGGCAGTTTGATGTCATACAGGGAGCTTCTGCTCCAAATAGCAAACTGAGACAATTAAGATCTTACAGGGACACTTTACTGCATTGCTGCCACCACAAACACATTTTTGCTAAAGAGTTTAGAGTGGAGAATTCACATGCAAGATTTAAATAAGCTCTCTCTTTAGATTTTAAAATTTGGACCATTATCAGTTATATAACTAACCTACCAACTGCATTTGATAATCTAAACGAATGTGCAAACAATAATCATGATGTTCAAACTGTTTCACTCCTATTTAGTTGCATGGAGTTGTTTACCTTGTATATTAGCATAAATGAATTAAAGTTTAGGTCAGAGTGCATCTCGGATATCTACTGAAAGTAGGGCTGCAACGACTCCTCAAATGATTCCAGTACCTCGATTATTAAAACTCCTAGAGGCATATTATTATCTGCCTCGAAGGGTTAGCAGCATAATGTCCAATTTTCAAGTTTGATCCAGGGGAATTTTATTGATTGATAATGTCTATTGATTGTTTTTCTGGGGACCAAGAAACATCCTTAAAGTAACTGGTAAGATGCATGGAGTACAACAGCCTTTCTCCTCTCAGAGTTGCTTTCTGCTGGCCGGTTCCGAGCGAACGGCGGGGAAGCGTGCGGCGGGTGTATTTATACAGGTGAGCGCATAGACTGAACACAGCATTTGGCTGTGCTGTAGTTGATGCTTAACGCAAGAGTAACTTTACAGACGAACCGGAAAATAAATTTACCACCATCCAGTCTCAGCAAATGGGTGGCAGAGTGCATTGTGGCGGTACTGGTAAATCTGTGTGTGACGGAGGAGCCAAATCCAGTCGTTTACATGGACACAAAAGTATGTGCAAAGTGAGAGTTCACCTATTAAACTGACTGAAGATGAATACATGAACTAAAAACTTGAGTACAAACATATTTGCAAGTCTCTTTGTGAGCCTGCCTCTTTATTATCCCGCAAGTTTTGGAATTTATTTCATTGTTTTGTGTTAGTTGTCATGTGCTCCCTGACAATGGCACAGCCCTATTCACAGCCTGCTGTTAGAGCATTTCACATAATCAGCATGCAATGCTAAAGATATTCGGTGCCAACACCTTGTTTTGGTCTTCACTCACACGTCCCAGGTGTTAACATCTAATCAAAGGCTGTTTGGCCTCAGGCTCAGATTGTACCTTTCCTTGTTCCCAGTAGCAGCATAAATGCCAACTTTCATTTGTGATAGGCAGCTCTCTGGTTACCACACCCTGAGTTAAAAAAATATATCCAGCTTTGAAACTGGATTAAAAAAAAAATACAGAAAAAGGTTGAAGTTTCGATTTTTATTTTTGACTATATTCAAAGCCTTACACTCTAAAAAGTGTTTTTGGCTGTAGTTCATTTTATGGACTTATTTACATTAATCTCACTTAATTTATTTGTTCTAGTGATGACAACTTAATTTTAATTAAGCTAAAAGTTACAAAACTAACCAATTCAAATTAACTAGCACTATAAAAAGTGTGTTTGAAACAATTAAGTTCAATGCCGCGTTCGTATCCCACATCTGAAGTCATGACAAGATTCACCTGGACAGATCCTGTACCAACCTGCTGCTGTGGTGACGCAGGGGTAGAGCACAACTCACATAAAGAGACATTAGTCCTCAATGTGGCCGTCGTAAGGTCGATTCCAGCCTGATGATCTTAGCTGCATGTCTCCTCCCTCTGTCATTACTCACTTTCCTGTCTAACTACTCTCACAGGCTGCCTGAGCCAAAAAAAAAGCCTGGTAAAACAGAAATCATTTATTAGTTTACTTCTTTATTTGAAGAAAACTAAATGATTTGAGCGAGACTGACTTAAATTTGTCATTTTTAAGACACTTAATGAATTAATTTAAAACAACTGAATGAATCGAGTTGGATGAACTTAATGAATTCACCCTCTCAGCGTGGGAAAGACACTGGCCCAAAGACTTAAATTATTTTTCGGTTTATTTGCTTCCTCACCATCACACTCTGACTGTTGGTAGTTGTGTGCTGCTTTACCTGCTGACTGCTGTCTGATCGCTCCGAATGTCTCTTTTTCCTGCATTGAGCCTCAATGTAGCCAAACTCCGTCAAGTGTTTGTTTTTTAAATGTCATATTAGATTTGTTGTGTTGATGCATTTTGACCCGTGCTTCAACTCAAGGTAATTTTCCATCACAACACGCAAACGTCCCCGTTGATTCTGAGCTTTAAAGTTTCACACGACATTGTTTAGGATTTGTTGCTGCATGCTTGCACAGTGTGAAGGAAAAAGGAGATGAGCTGCACACGCAGGCTGCGAAGTGAGATACATGTGATCGGCTACAAGAGACAGTGATCAGCGATCACCAATCATACACTTTGTCACGGAAATCAGTCGATTATGATCGGTGGCCGATCGATCGGCACACCTCTAATTACCAACATGGAAGAATGAGAGGCAGCCTACCTGGAGAGGAAATGGGTCCCTTCTTGGATGGGTTGGGGTGAAAAAGGAAAGGTTTAAGAAGCGTTTGTCATGCAGCAAAAGTGACTTGATCCATTCTTATTTCCAGTTGGAGAGCATCTGGTCGGTCCTGAGGGTTTACTGCAAGCATGTCCAGAAGGAGCTTCTTTACCCCATCAGTCATAGAGCTCCTGGCCTTCTGAGGGATGTGCAGAACCATCTTGGGGTTCTCCAGCAGAGCTTCCCCAACAGGAATGATCTCAGAGCCCTGTCGAACATACGTGCCCAGTAGTTCACGCTTCGACTCTGCATCAATAAACGTGATTCGTTCGACCATTGCCCAAATGATGATGCCAAGGGCAAAGATGTCAGCTTTAGCTGTGTAGTGGCCCTCCCAAACCTCCGGGGCCATGTAGAAGTCAGAGCCGCAAGCTGACGATAACCAGAACTTGTTGATGTTGACAGTGTTGTACTGGTTGCTCCCTTTGCCAGCAGCTCTCGCTGTAGGATCTTCTTCACTGCTCTTGGAGGTTAGTCCAGCACAAACCTTACTGAGGCCAAAGTCTGCTACCTTAAGTACAGGTGAACCAGATTTCTGTGAGATGAGAATGTTGTCTGGCTTCAGGTCCCGGTGGACAATGTTGTTCTTGTGAAGGAAAGCAATGGCACTTGTTAGCTGGAGCATGAAGCTGCTGTTGGTCTGGGGGTCGGGTCGCCGAGACAGGATGTACTGGTTGAGGTCCCCACCTTCGCAGAACTCCATGACAAACCAAAGGTAGCATGGCTCCTCTGGGTAACCAAGGATGCGCTCACCTTAGGATTAAAAGAAGACAATACTTTGTTACAACTCTAAAAGTTAAAAATGCCCAAATTGCGAAAGCAAAAATCAAATAATTCTCAGAAACAAGAACACAACTCTTTTCACATTAGCTCAGCCTTAACGGTAAAAACCTTTCTACAAATATAAAAGCAATGGCATTTTCCAGGAAAGCTAAAAGTGGCAAGGTTCTATGCTATGGCTTAAAAATGTCCAGTCTCCACTTACTCAGTCACTTCTACCTTCAGGACCATAATTGATTTATTTACTTACTTTCATAGAGGCACATTTTCCAATACTTCTCCAGTTTCCCAAGGTCTTTCCAAGTTTTACCTTAGACTGCTTTTTCATTTTTCACACCAGTACTAACCCCATCATTCACTTAGTGATTAAAATATTTCTAAATAAAACAAACAAGTGACAAGTCTGAACAATTTCCAGAAGATAAATAATGTCTAGTGAGGCACTGAAGACCCGATAAAGGACCAGAAATCACATTCCCTCAGCTGATCATCGGTTGTACAGTCAGCCCTTTGAGAAAAGTCTTGTTAACGTGACAAGGTGGTAGTAAAAGTCAACAAGGATCCCATTTAAGTTGGTTCTTTGTTTATTTGTTAATGTAAAAAAAACTTTCTTAATGCTCCAGTAATTAAAACAAGTGGACTGAAACTGATTGAAATTGTACTTTTCCATCAGTGATCCCAGTGCTCAACTAGACCTAGTGTTGGAACCAGTTCTTAACTGGTTCCACAAAAGAACTGGTTTGCTTTTACACCACCTAAGAGCAAAGCCAG